CTCTTCAAAAAACACAAATATAGGGTCTTTACTTAATTCATCATTGGACTGGTTTTCAGTTCAAGAGTCCCCTATTGTGTATTTTGATGCCCCTATCTTCAAAGGCAGAAGAAAAACATCATATTTGAATGATTTAGAAATGAATATCAGAAAAAGGATTGACGGATGGAAGGCCAGGTTTCTCTCTTTTGGTGGTAAGCTCACTCTCTTAAAATCAGTCCTTTCCCCTATTCCTATACATACCTTGGCAGTGCGGTCTCCCCCGGATTTCTAAGATGAAAAGTGTTATGGCTAATTTATTATGGGATTCCAATGGTGAGCACAGGCACCACTGGATTGCTTGGGACAGCATTTGTAAATCCATGAAGGAGGGTGGGTTGGTAATTAGACAGGAAATTGCATGCCAAACTTGCGGGGGCTTATGTTGTTGGTCAGTTTCTCTGGGGCAAGTTTATGAGATCTAAATAGGGTCATCCATTGGATGTGGTGTCTAAGCCTATTTCTTTCTGATTTAAGCTCTCATGTTTGGAGGAATGTTTTCCCTCATGTTAGTACCATTCTGGGCAACTCTCATTGGGTGGTAGGTGCTGGTAACATCAGCTTTAGCATGGCTAACTGGGGTGCTGGTGCTTTTTCTGTGCAGAATGTGGATCTTAAGACTCCTTTTAGAGAAGTTATTCAATCTGCTGATTTTTCTACCTTAGTTCTGCCTAGCTTATCCACAGAGGCTCAATCTATTTTGTAAGATATCTCTCTAGATTCTGACATCCCAGATAGACTAGTTTGGCATCATTCCCCTTCAGGTCTTTTCTCCTCTGCTTCCTATTGGCATTTTTCCAGAATTCATGGCCAGAAAAGTCCTTGGTGGTCTCTATTATGGAACCAGTGGCTTCCTCCTAAGATGGGTTTATTCTCTTCTTCTGGAGATTCCTCAGGAATGCTCTTCCTATGGATGACAGGCTCAGATACATGGGCTTTCAAATGCCTTATAAATTGAATTTCTGCATTAGAAGTCAACAGGATTCTTTACTTCATTTGTTTTGTCAAGGTGAAACTGCCTCTCAGGTTTGGTCTTATTTGAAAGGTGTTCTTAATGCTAGTTTTGTTCAAGATAGTATGTCTGCTTTCACTAAGACCTGGTTGCAAGGCAGTTCTATCAAATCTAAAATGGGATTTTTAGGGTAGTTTTATCTTCTCTGGTTGCTGGGAGATTTGGCTTGCTAGAAATGCATCTGTTCATGATTCAGTTGCTATGTCTTCTTCATCTATTATCAATAAAGTCAAGCACTGGTGTAAGGATTTATTGCATTGCAGCTTGATTATCCCACTCATTCTTCTGGTTTTCATGATTCTATTTGTTTCCAAGTAATGCATATCCCTATGGTCTCCCCTAAGATTCCTAAAGGAAAATGGATCAAATGGGCTCCTCCTCCTTTTGGTATTTTGAAGTTGAACACAGATGGTTCTTCAAGGAATGGCATGGCAGCAGGTGGTGGCATTATTAGGGACTATAAGGGCTCCGCTTTGGTTGCTTTTTCTACCTTTTATGGCCCAGGTACCAACACATTTGCAGAAGCCAGAGCTCCCCTTTTTGGTCTGATGCTTTGTTACAGATTAGGCTACTCCAAAGTAGCAGTGGAGAGTGAGAAAAAATCATTTTTGATAGCATCTGTGGAGGTGCAGTCCCTTGGACAGTCCCTTATATGATCAGATCTTTAAAAACTTTCTTACTTCCTTCCATGTCCATCTCTCATATCTACAGGGAAGGGAATCAAAGTGCAGACACTTTAGCTACCCATGGCCACTTCCATCAGGAACATTTTGAATTTCTTTCTTTTCTAATGGCTCTCTTCCTACTGCCTCTCTTGCCTAAAGAGGTCAGTCCACCGCGTGTCTGTCTTCCAGTTCCTTGACTCCCAAACCTTGGGTCATTGATTCTGCCCCCGCTTAGGTTAGCTGTGCTTCCTTAAATATCGGGTTGCCAAGGGTTGTTTCCGGAGGAAATGGGATTAGAACCCATGATTTAGCAGTTGGTTGAGCAGTCGTGGCGGACAAACACAAACAGCAAGCAAAGTCTTGGCTCGCTCTCATTGGGAGGCTGTTCAACCAGACTGACGAAGTTGAGTATTGACACAAACAATAAGAGGACGAGCTTCCCTTCTACTACCGAAAAGAGGAGTTTACCACCGCCTACATATTCCACTCACTCTATCCTCTTTGATCCTATTCCAAGGCGATGGATCCTATTTCACTATCCTTGTCTAGAAGGCGATTCGGTAGCACTGAATTACTATAATAAGGTAAAAGATCAAAGAAGTCTCTCCGATCGATCCCATTCCTAGTCTTCGTACTAAGCCCTGTTGCCTTACCCCTAATCAAGCTTGCTTTCAGCCGAGATCGCCCTTCAGTAGTTGCCCTCCTCGCCCCATTCAATAGAAAGTTGACTTACACGCCTTACTTGATAGGAGGCTTCAGGGAAAGAGATCCGAGAGTTTTGACAGTAGTGGGAAGAGTTTGAAGACTTTCCGCTCATCTCCCGCCTTCGACTTGAAAGCGAGAGGCTTTTCGCTCCTCTCCTGCTTGGAAGCTCTCTTTTAGTCGGAGAAGTGCTACCTGTCGACCGTTAGGGAGACTACCGTCGACCGACCTGAGGAGGGAGACTACCGCCCCTGAGGGGCTTGTTGCTAGAGGCATCCCCTCAAATGAGATTTCTAAACTCTACAACCGCTCCGGTTTGAGCAATAAGAGCCCGCCTTCCGGGTCCTATATTCTAGTTACTAGCTTCAAAGGAACTACTAAAAGAAGGAGTCAAAGCATCGGAGAGTGCTACCTACGAGTGAGTCACCCGCCTGGTTACCTGTCCTTATGAAGGAAGGTGCGCATGAAAGTCTTTACGGAAGACCATCAAATTACTGATTAGGAAGGTCTTTAAGGAATGAACTTCTATTACAGGGATTCTTTTATTAAGACCTTTCGGATAGATAGCCCTATTGAATGAAGGTTGAACACCAACCCGCCTGGAAAGCTAAGAGTCGGCAAAGACCTAGCTGTCGAGGAATGAAAGAAGTCGCTTTCTAGGAGAAGGAGTACGAGGAAGTCAAGTCACAGGCAAGCAACCAACAGGCTAAGAGCTATCTCCCAACCTCTCCCTTATTGACAAAATGAGAGGGATTTCAGGCAATTAGCATATAAGAATTCCTGCCCTAGAAGATCGCATTTCTGACTTGAGCACCGTCTTTAGGCATTTCAGTTCTCAGGATCTTACGAAGAAAGGCTAAAGATCGTACTGAACACAACCCTATGATATGAGTGAAGGCGAGCCAGGAAAGCACCCTGAACTCATAGGGTGAAGGCGAGGAAGCTTTCAAAATTTCAGGGGCTCCTCTAAACAAGAGTTTTGACTAGGTAGATTTGCCCTTCTACGCCGTTTTAGGTGAGTTCGGACTCAATCATTGACCGGAGATTGGGACAGAGCGGATGGCAACTAGCTGACTTCTTCCTGTCACTCGTACAGATCTGATTGAAGATATTGCATTAGAAAGGGATACAAAGTAACTTCCGAAGATTGAAAGAGAGGCAATCCCAGTTCGATACTGGTCTTGTTGCACTTCTTCGAGTTAATGACGGATAGCCCGCTAGGGACTGCTTGGCTTGTTAGCGAGAAAGCGCATAAAAGAATGCCATTTCTCGATCGAGAAAATAGGCTCAAGTACATTAGTCCGTCACTGCCATTTTGACTAGGTGGATTTTGCCTTCTAGTTGACTTCTTTCTGCGGGATACCCTAGTTAGAGCAGTGAAACCTTTAAGGCAAGAGATGCGGGCAAGTCAGTCGCTAGAACTCCCAGATGCTAATAACTCGCTAGAAGGGGTAGAAAGCCTGTTCTTTTGGTACAAATCCTCTTTCTTGAATGAAACTAGCTAGCTGTCTTTGAAGTCAAGTACTTAGCCGGAAAGGCAAGTCCATCGCGGGCACTACCCGACTTATTTCGGTATTGCATATAAGTACAAGTTTAGATGTGGCCATCTAGACAAGTGAAACGGTCCTTGCTGTCGAAGTTTACTACTGGATAGGAATTCCATCGGTATGGCATTAGAACTGCTCGGAGAAGTTCGATATTGAAGGTATACAGTTCGATAGATCGGTATTGAAGTGAGATATTCAATCCTCTTTCTATTGAATGGTATTTCACTGCCTTTCATGTACAAGTATTGCAACTGAGACTGAGAGACAAGGGAGATCCCATTGAACTTGCCTTGATTGAATGAAGGCTAGCTGACTTCGATACTGAATGAACTCGCATGCTGGAGAACCGATGAGAGACATAGTCGATGCCAATATAGCTGTAATTTCACACTGAAGCTTTTCCCTTCGAAGAGTTGATCTTTCATTTCAAAAGTGGTCTCTCCCCAATGGAGAAATGATGCTAGCCCTTTTTCCTTCGATGACAGAGATTGAAATGGATAAAGTGGATTCTCCCTAATGGTGAAATGAGACTGATTTCAGTGATTGAACTGATGGCAACTAGCGAGCAATCTTACTCAATAGGGGCTTTCCATCTTAAAAGCCTTCCTTCTTGCTTGCTTGCGAGAAGGCTTTCTTGCGTTCTTGCTTAGCTGGGGAGGCAGTGGACCAATAAGCTAGCTGTCCCAACCAAGACAGGAGCTAGCCTCTTATCTTAAAGGCTATCGATTTCCTCCTTGAGGAGCAAGGAAGATCAGAGGTCACACTGGAAAGCTATCAACTAACCTGTAAGAAGACTCTTTCTTTGGGCTTCTTCTTAGTCCGTTAGGTAGTTGCCTAGAGCTATTAATAGACTGAAAGGGGAAGAACGACCAGTCTTCCTAGCGATG